TATTGATCAGAAGGTTCTCCTAAATTTGTTAAATTAGGAGGACAATTGCTCCTAAAAAGAAAAGTAAGAGCATAGAGCCATGTGTATCAGTATATTAGATCCATGCATGAGGTCTTAAAGAGACAGCAGCCTAAATAAACCTGCTGCTGTCTTTCATTATACAGTGAAGACTATCCAGTGTTATTTTACAGTTGAGTAGATTATAGTTAGACTTAACTGAAAACATTTCTTGTTTTTGTTTTTGTTTGTGCTATTGATTGTCGTTAATTTATTTATACTTATTTTTTTATTTACTATTTACTTGTCTTTTTTTTAGTTAAAATAAATTCAATTCTGAGTGCACCTGATTCTTGGGTGGGGAGGGGACGTGGTCCATGAGAAATAGTCCTGCCACCACAAATCCTAGGAAACACTGCATACATTACTTGTCTTTTTTTTAGTTAAAATAAATTCAATTCTGAGTGCACCTGATTCTTGGGTGGGGAGGGGACGTGGTCCATGAGAAATAGTCCTGCCACCACAAATCCTAGGAAACACTGCATACATTTAATAAAATTAGAAAAATGCATTTACAAAGGTAAAAAGAAAATACCCCTGAAATCACTGAGTCAAATGTCAGCTCGTATTAGGAAGGCTAATTCTTGATTAGAATTTATTATTGATTAGAAGGTGCTCCTAAATTTTTTTAATTAGGAGGACAAGCGCTCCTAATTACAAGAAGAAAAAACTGCTCTTAAACTGGGTGTGTGACAGGCATGGCTGTGGAATGGGGTTTGGCTGAGGAAAAATTCAGTCAAAATATTTTTTTTTTATTTTAATCCCTGTGTTCTAAAAGAATAGTTTTCTCAAAGTTTTAAAAAGTATTTAATTATTATATAGTATTATTATTTATTTAATTATTATTTAATCATAATTTACAGTGTTTTGGGGTGTTCCATCTCTTTAATGACTATATTGTAGATCTCTGGTCACATTTAGATCATTTACTGAGGAGAGAGCTTTGCATTCATTCCTGCATTCTGAGATACATTCTGTATATCAGGCTCATTTAATAACACATTCTCTTACTAATTTGGTCGCTAACACCTTAAACTTGTGCAGTGTTTTTGGGGTAACTGGGTTTTGTTCATGAGGCTTTGAGCCATCTGCTAATGTGAGTTCCATACATGTGTCTGTCTGTCTGTCTGTCTGCTGCTGTGCCTCATGTCTCCGCTGCTCACCGCAGTTATTCTCTACCAAACACTCATACAGACATTCTTAATATACTCCCCTCTGTCTGATCCACAGGTGGACGGGTCAAGACGTGGAAGAGGAGATGGTTCATATTGACGGACAACTGTCTGTATTATTTTGAATACACCACTGTACGTGAATCTGCTTTATTGCAGTTCAATGATTGAATAATCCAATGTAAATATAAGCCATCCGTTGTGTTTTACTGCGGTCACATGTGCTTCCTCTTCTGCATCTGTTTCCAGGATAAAGAGCCGAGAGGGATCATTCCTCTGGAAAATCTCAGTATTAGGGAAGTGGATGACTCCAAGAAGCCAGTAAGCGTTCTCTCACTTTTCCATCGGTTTACTCTCACATTTAAGTTACTTTGTAGTAAGGGAGTCATTATGGTGGTGTTTTTTTTCTTCTTTTTTTTGTGTGAGGCTGACCAATATTAGATTTATGTATTTTTGATGTTCCTGTGGCTCAGTGGTAGAGCATTGCGTTAGCAGCGCAAAAGGTTGTGGGTTCGATTCCCAGGGAACACACATACTGGTAAAAAATGTATCGCCTGAATGCACTGTAAGTCGCTTTGGATAAAAGCGTCTGCTAAATGCATAAATTATTAAATTATTATTAAAATTATGTATTTAATTAGCTAGTTTGGTTTGGTTTTATCCTCAATTTATTATTATTATTATTAATTTAATATTTTAATTCTTTTTTAGCAACAATGGTTTGATTCACATGCTGTTTTTTGTTGTTGTAATTTTTTAATATTTTATTTGTATATTCTTTCAATTTTCTATTTGTGTATTTTTGTTTTATCTTCCCTTTTAAGTTTTACGATTATTAATAATTGTATTTATGTATTATTTTTATATATTTTTAGCAACAGTGTTTGATTAGTGTTATGCCTTTATTATTATTTTTAAATATTGTCATATTTTCTATTTCATTTTATTACTTTGTAGACTTGCTTTATCCTCGTTTTAGTTACTTCAGTTTTAATTATCACTTTCAAGTTTTATCAGTTTTTATTATAATTTTTTGCAACAGTGGTTTGATTAGCATGTTGCGCCTATATTTAAAAAAAATTATATTAATTGATTTTAGCAAATGGCTGCAATATAACAAAGAGTGAAAAATTTAAGGGGGTCTGAATACTTTCCGTACCCACTGTATATATATATATATTAGCAACAGAGGTTTGATTAGCATGCTGTGCTTTAGCTGCTAGAAATATATATATATATATATTCTAATATATTCATAGATATTTTAATATATTTTAGCATGCTGTGCTTTTTATTTAAAACATTATGAATAAGTAAACAAACAAACAAACAAAAAACATAAATTTCACTTAATTTATATTCCATATTAATTTGTTTTCCTACACCGCAACAGCAGAAGATCGAGTGCTGACCAGCAAACCATTCTAAAGAAAAAAAAAAATTTATTACAGTTGTTTACAGCATCATTAGTTCATTTGGATTATGGACTGATCGTGTGCCACAACAGCCACAGCCTTAGAGGAGAGAGCTTTGCAGTCATTCCTGCATTCTGAAATACATTCTGCATATCAGGCTCATTTCATAGCACATTCTCTTACTAATTTGGTCACTAACACCTTAAACTTGTGCCTGGTTCAGTGGGTTTGGGCTAACTGTTTTGTTTATGAGGCTTTGAGCCATTTGAGCTGTCCATCTGCTAATGTGAGTTTTCATACATCTGTCTGTCTGCTGCTGTGCCTCATGTCCCTGCTGCTCACCACTATTATTCTCAACCAAAAACTCATACAGACCTGGACGATGATATACTCACATCTGTCTGATCCACAGGTGGACGGGTGAAGACGTGGAAGAGGAGATGGTTCATATTGACGGACAACTGTCTGTATTATTTTGAATACACCACTGTACGTGAATCTGCTTTATTGCAGTTCAATGATTGAATAATCCAATGTAAATATAAGCCATCCGTTGTGTTTTACTGCGGTCACATGTGCTTCCTCTTCTGCATCTGTTTCCAGGATAAAGAGCCGAGAGGGATCATTCCTCTGGAAAATCTCAGTATTAGGGAAGTGGATGACTCCAAGAAGCCAGTAAGCGTTCTCTCACTTTTCCATCGGTTTACTCTCACATTTAAGTTACTTTGTAGTAAGGGAGTCATTATGGTGGTGTTTTTTTTCTTCTTTTTTTTGTGTGAGGCTGACCAATATTAGATTTATGTATTTTTGATGTTCCTGTGGCTCAGTGGTAGAGCATTGCGTTAGCAGCGCAAAAGGTTGTGGGTTCGATTCCCAGGGAACACACATACTGGTAAAAAATGTATCGCCTGAATGCACTGTAAGTCGCTTTGGATAAAAGCGTCTGCTAAATGCATAAATTATTAAATTATTATTAAAATTATGTATTTAATTAGCTAGTTTGGTTTGGTTTTATCCTCAATTTATTATTATTATTATTAATTTAATATTTTAATTCTTTTTTAGCAACAATGGTTTGATTCACATGCTGTTTTTTGTTGTTGTAATTTTTTAATATTTTATTTGTATATTCTTTCAATTTTCTATTTGTGTATTTTTGTTTTATCTTCCCTTTTAAGTTTTACGATTATTAATAATTGTATTTATGTATTATTTTTATATATTTTTAGCAACAGTGTTTGATTAGTGTTATGCCTTTATTATTATTTTTAAATATTGTCATATTTTCTATTTCATTTTATTACTTTGTAGACTTGCTTTATCCTCGTTTTAGTTACTTCAGTTTTAATTATCACTTTCAAGTTTTATCAGTTTTTATTATAATTTTTTGCAACAGTGGTTTGATTAGCATGTTGCGCCTATATTTAAAAAAAATTATATTAATATATATATAAAAAATTTTTTTTTATATATATATACATTTATATCCTTATATTTTTGTTATTATTAGTGAATAATTATTGCTTATAAATTATTTATTATGTAATATGCAAGTTATTTATTATGCAAACAGTGGTTTGATTGGCATTGTGCTTTACATTTTTATATTTTATAGATTATTTTATCTTTTTAGTTTTATTCTCTCTTTTAAGTTGTATAATAATATTAATAATATTTGTTTCTTATTCTTCATCCTAGCAACCCCTTGCTAGTCAAGTAGTTGTCCAGACAATGTACTAGATGACTTTGAAAATGTTTGTTTGAAAACAGGCATGTTTTACTTTGAGCTTTGAGCGGTGTAATTAGCACAGGGTTACGGGTTTGCTCAAATCTCTCTCATACACTGCCGTCATTGTTCTGGTAACCTCAGTTTGCTCCAGTGAAAATATCCTTGTGATTAATGTACTGAAGGTTCCTCTGGATAAAAGCTTCTTCTAAAGTAGCTCTCTTTACACAGAACTGCTTTGAACTCTTCATCCCAGACAACAAGGATCAGGTCATCAAAGCCTGTAAGACTGAAGCAGATGGACGGGTTGTGGAAGGAAACCACACGTTCTACCGCATCTCAGCACCAACAACAGAGGAGAAAGAGGAGTGGATCAAAAGCATCAAGTAAGTCTTCCTCTCATCAAGTTTTAATATGCATGAGAAGCATTTTGACACAGATTGGACTAAAATTAAATGTTCAATTAAAAAAATTTTTTTCTCACATTGATATAATAGCAAAAATAGTTTGTAATTCAGTTATTCTCTACAAAATACTCATACAGACATCCTTAATATACTCACCTCTGTCTGATCCACAGGTGGATATAATATTGATATAATACAATACATTAATACTCGCATTGATATTATATAATAGCAAAAATAGTTTGTAAATAGTGGAAATTTTCCAAAAAATTCCTAAAATCATCATTCCGAAAGTAAGTAAAAAAAACATTATTTTCTCTCTTTATCATTCTCTCCAGGGCTGCCATAAGCAGAGATCCTTTCTATGAGATGCTTGCTGCCAGGAAGAAGAAAGCCTCATCTCTGAAGAGACAGTAGGGCTGTTTGTACATGGACCTGGAAAAGAGGCGAATGATAAACGGAAGCCATAACGCTGGATTGGAGCGATTTTAATCTCAGGAATGGCCTGGAGTTTTGAAGGTTATCGTGCAGTTGGCTTTCTGAGAAGTTGTCTTGACATTTATGTTTGTTTAATTGAACAGACATTGAGTACTCGCGTACATCATCATCATCTCATATCAGCAGGTCTGACTGAATGTGGATCTCATTGAGCTTTTGTAAGCTTGCTGCAGACATGACCGTTCCTCTCTGTACTTTGATACATATTAAATGCTAATTGTGCACCTATTTTTACACTGCTATGTACTGTAAATATCTGGGAGAGTTTTGGCCTTGTTTTGTTTGAGACTGAGACTTTCTGATCTGCTGTCATATTTATGGTTTTGTTGTTGTTGGCTAGACATTTTTCACATTTTGCCAAAGTTTGTCTTTCCGTATTATACTGTCCTAAAAACTGAAATCGAGTGCTTGGGTGCATTCTGATTCATGAAATGAATATGGTTTATTTTGATGCTGTTTATTTAGCTTAAACAGTGTTTTATTTAAAATATCAGGATATTATTCACTGATCTCATAGGTGGCCTTGAAAGACTGTGAAATCCAAAAACATTTCAGTAAGTTTGGGTCATATTTATGGAAAAATGTCAAATTAAACTACCGATTTAAGAGTTTATTTTTACTATGTTTTGTATTTTACCACCTTAAATGTACTGTTAAATCGACGCCCCCCAAAACAAATTTTTTTCTTCTTTATATGCACTGATAGTTGAGAGAAAACTCTTAAATACTAATTTATCAATGCTGTACATATTTAAACATATAGGTTGTTTTATTTTTTATTGTCAAAATATACTTTGTGCAGAAGTAATGGGGTGGGGAAAAAAAAGGTTTTGACCTGTTAAGTTTATTTCACCATTGCTATGTAATCTTGTGCTTAAAATAAATCTGAAATGATTGAGCTTTACAAATACAATTATTCTTTTTTCTTATAGAGAAGACAAACTACATTTTTTTCCACTTATCAGTGCCTTTGTTAATTTGTGGTTACTTGATGAACTTGAAAGTTTCTCAGTATATCGACATTTACTGAAAATAACCAGGAAATGTCTTTATTTTTTACATGGATGTGACCAAAAATAAAGGTCACACATCTGTATTTCACATCAAATAACTCGCTCAACCATGACTGTTTAAGCCTTTTTATTCTTAAAAACCACTTAAACATTGACCAAAAAAAAAAAAAGGAAGTCTTTATATAGTACATTTTTGGCTGATTTTCTTAGTTCTTGTGTGTTAGACGATGTGGCTTTAAGTTTCATTCAAAAGTCTCTTCTCTTCCAAACGCTGTCATTCGTGACATTTAAATCCAATTAAATGTAAGTCACAAAAGAAAAACAACAAAAAGTAATCTGGTCTCAATATGTTAATAAACCTTATAAATATGCAAACGCTCTTGCTCCATGCACATTGGCACCAAAATTAAAACATTCTGCGGAAAAGGGTAGTACTGCAGTTTTTATTACAAAACCAACATCGTTTTGAACTTCTGCAAAGCAGCGCTTAAATTGATGTTGAACTAATACTACAGAAGTCTCTATAAAGAAGTGATAACTCCCTCAAACACAATGAAGCACAAATCCATCGCAGGCGTACTGTGTAAAGGTTTGAGTCAGGATTTAAAGCTCTTCTGTAATCGCTGATGAAAGTCATATGCTCATTTTCAGTACTCATTTTGTTTCTGCCATGGAATAAAAAGGTTGCGTAAAAATTTTGACTTTAGTTCTTACATTTATTTCTTACAATGCAGACGTTTCAGGAAATTCAAGTTGTGAGTTGTATGAATTGTGAGAGATAAATTGTGAGAAAAAAGTCTGAATTGTGAGATGTTGCAATTACCTTTAAAAAAAACAAAAAAAACAAGCTTGTGGCAGAAACAAGCTTCCATAGGTTTCAGGCAGTGGATGTGAAATCTCACATAATGCGTAATGTCATTGACTTTGTTGATGAAGTGAACATTAATACTGACTTATAACTGCTGCTGACATTTTCAACCAAAAATAATGCAGTAAAAAAGTACAATGGAAATAAAGTAGAAATGGTAAGGGTCATTTTTGAACAGCATCTTATTAAAGTGACAAAACAACAGAAATGTTTACGGAAAAACTTAAATTAAAATATGTACACGTTAGATGCACTGCACATCAAACTGATGGCCAAATGTTCAGATCTGCCATACTGCTTACAAATATATGTCTTATCACACTGGCAGTAAATACTGTATACTGGATTTACATGCATTCTCTCCTAACAATGAGCTTGTGTGAAGCAGAATGAATGTTACTGAATCTAACAGCACTGGAGCTCACTCATCTTTATCGTAGCCATCTGCATCCAGCAAACCATCGATATTTGCAAATGCCTCTTTTACAAATCACACACGTGAAGTCCCACTTTTCATCTGAAAAAAAAAAAAAAAATTAAAGAAAAAACAGGTGATCTTAAAGGTGATACTCTAATACTACTTATTTATTATTATCAACACAGAACACACTTTGCAAAATACACTACAGTTCATCCGTTTGAGTTGGCAAGTTTTTGAAAGGCACTTATGGTCCTCAAGGTTGCATTTATTTGATCAAAAATACAGTGAAAAATATTTCTACATATTCTAAAAATTTCTTAAAATATTTCTAAATTTAATTTTAAAATGTAATTTATTTCTCTGATAGCAAATAAGCCATTACTCCAGTCTTCAGTGTTTTCCTTCAGAAGTCATTCTAATATGCTGATTTATACATTTCGTATTATTATCAGTGTTGAAAGCAGTTGTGCTGCTTAATACATTTGTGGAAACTGTAATCATGTTTTGATGAATAGAAAATTAAAAATAATTATTTGAAATAAAAATATTTTTTTACATTATAAATGTCTTTACTGTCACTTCTGATCAAATTAATGTGTCCTTGCTGAATAAAAGTAATTTCTTTCACACACACATACATATATATATATATATATATATATATATATATATATACAGATTAAAAATGACAAATGTACAGACCCAAAACATTTGAACCATAGTGTGCACGAAAACATCCAAAGGAGGACATAGCAAATAAAACCTAGATTTCTACATTTTCTGAATAATTCCAATAAGCTGCACAATTCGAGGTATCATTTGCGTCAGCAGCACAGCACAAGTTCAATACTCCTTATACTGATGCTTACCTTGAAAAACAGCACTATTAAAAAAAAATCTGGTTTTACTGTAATGCATTTGAATAATCACTAGAGGGCAGAGGGAGAACTTTTCTTGACTACAGACAACCCTGCTGCAAGTCATAATGAGTTACTTTATAGCATTATTACATAACGTCCTTTATATTTTGATAACTTTCCAAATACAATACACTCTTTCAAGCAGTGACTGGAATTTTTTCACACACACATATATATATATATATATATATATATATATATATATATATACAGATTAAAAATGACAAATGTACAGACCCAAAACATTTGAACCATAGTGTGCACGAAAACATCCAAAGGAGGACATAGCAAATAAAACCTAGATTTCTACATTTTCTGAATAATTCCAATAAGCTGCACAATTCGAGGTATCATTTGCGTCAGCAGCACAGCACAAGTTCAATACTCCTTATACTGATGCTTACCTTGAAAAACAGCACTATTAAAAAAAAATCTGGTTTTACTGTAATGCATTTGAATAATCACTAGAGGGCAGAGGGAGAACTTTTCTTGACTACAGACAACCCTGCTGCAAGTCATAATGAGTTACTTTATAGCATTATTACATAACGTCCTTTATATTTTGATAACTTTCCAAATACAATACACTCTTTCAAGCAGTGACTGGAATTTTTGTAAAGGCCATTTCCTTAGAAATGTGATTCACTGACAAAGAGATAGTAGAGGAATTCTTCCCAGTAAGTGACACCTCCACTCTTCTGCACTGATTTTGGGAAAATATCCCTAAAATTCTGTAGAATGGTTTTCAACATGGCCAGGAATACTACAATACTACAGTGGACACTCAAGTCACTTTTATATGTCTACACCAATGGATGATAATGTTTGTCATATGCCGCTTTAAATGCTCAAGCTCTTTAAATCGGGGGGATTCTGATTGGCTGTCAAAAAAATCGTCCTCAAAGTAATACCAACTAGTTTGTTATTGTTATCATTATAGCTGTGGACTTCCCTATTCCCATAAAACGGTTATTAAAACATTATAGCTATCATTACACTTACTGTCTAGTAAGTCCAGTCAGCTACAAAAAAATGGAAAAGCAAGCTAGTTCTGAGAAAACTCTAACACTATTTAAATTTTTTTAAAAGAAGCCACTTGGTATTTTGTTGTCTAATTGAACATTAGACATTTTGGGAAAATTAAGCATTCTGGGTCACTGTACACTCATATTAATAGCTGAAAACATCAAAATATTTAACAAATACAAAGGAATGGAGATGGGTTCAACTTTGTGGATGGCAGCTATTCCACCTCCGCTATGCTTTCAGCTGATTTTGTGTGTGTACTGCTCATGCTAAATGCTAGGAAAAGAGGCAGAGACCTTTCAGCTTAGCTCGATTTAAACACATTTCATTACACCAAATACACAAAATAATGTTCTTTTTAGCAGCATCATATGACCCCTTTAACGTACAAAGCGCCTCATTTTGTTAATACCAATGGCTTTGGCTCAAAGTTAAACAATCTTAAATCCTAACATTTAGCAAGTGAGACAGAGAATGTTAGTAATCAAATGGAGGCGAGGGAAGGAATCGTGCAGCACGCAGAAAGAGCAGCTGTAACAGACTCCAGATGTGAGCGACGGTGGGCTCACGGAGGTCACTGGCAGTGCAGCTGAAGTCTGGGCCTGACAGCACTGGAATGGCTAGATTCATGCTGTGGTCTGACCATGCTAGCTCTACGCTGGGCTGTGTGACGGGGATTTGGGTTGAAGGAACCACTGGAGTGACAATGTAAATTCTTCAGAACCCGCTGTCTGGCAAGCTGGGGTTTTGTATATCCATCTTCGGGGAAAGTCTGACTATACGGAGCGCAAGAGAGCCAAGTCATTCGTGTGGAAGCGGAATAAAATGCTGAATGCTGTTTTTGTTTGCTTTAGGCTAGTACCTTCTGAGCATTTCATGTGAATGCCTCGTTTATGTATGGAAGAAAAATAATGCCATATGTCTTTAAAACAAAAAAGCACGTTGAATAGCACTGACAGCAGCTGGAGATCGTGCATCGGTGCTCTACTGCTATTCCTGCAGCTCCCGGATGTGCAATGCCGAATTTTCTGTCGAATTTTAACCACTGAATTTGTGGAAGCGAATTTGGAAAGTGAAATAAAATGGACCGAAATTTGCCTGTCGAATATTATACATCGTATTTTTAAACAGATTGAATATTTTGGAAGTGAATTCTGGAAGGTGAATATGAATTATTGAATTTTTAATTATGAAAATGTGTGTGAAATATTTTGAATTGAAATATTCACAGCTTAAATAGACAACTATGTTAAATTTCAGGACCTAAAAATGCAAGCCCTGGAAATACAAGGCATTAAAATGCAAGCACTGTTAATGCAATGCATTATTTTTTCAGTTAGTGCTATTCAGCGTGCTTTTTCTTTCAAAGACATATGGCATTATTTTTCTTCCATATTTATGCTTCAACATAATGAAACGCACATAATACCTGATACCACCGAACCATCCCTGCTGGAAAATCCGGCTTAAGATGGAAGCGGGTTACTAGCCGCTAGTCACAGTAGCATGAATTGCCATTTGTAAGCCATTTCATTTCAGTAATGTGACATTAGCATGAAACAGGACAATCAACTAAAAAGAAATAGGTGAGACATGATTTTATCCACTGGGAATTGATTGGATTGTGAAAAATTGACTGTTTGCTAAAACTAAACTTTTACAAAAAAAAGTTTTATTTGTTAACCCAAGTTAACTACATTAACATTGATATCAGTCATTAGTTAACATGAGCTAACAATGAACACTACTTAGTGTTAATTATCATACGACAAGATATAGAAGTCTGTCATTTTCACCCATAGGTCCAGTTGTTATTTTAAAGAAACATTACAGGGTCTTCTTTTTTTTGTAAAAAACATGCACAGATGAATTGTTCACAATAAGATCTATAACATGAATTTAGGAGATAAATAAGTTCAAATTTCATTTCCTGTCGACAAATGCAACCTTATTATAGTGTTACCACCAAAACAGAACCTAAATAGCTTGTTGGGCTGTTGGTTAACATTGTCCAACATTGTCCCTCTCAGCTTAAGTGACGTCACTGGAAAAGGCATAGGAAGTGCAAGTTATTACATTTGATGAAAGATTAGGATGAAAATGTTTTCTTTGGAATAACAGCCATCGGTGAATCAATAACAGTAAGACCAAGAACAAGTATTAAGATGGTAAATAAGGTTCATGTTGACTTTAAGGTGGTCAAGATGGTTTTTGGAACAAGGTCAACCAGCTAATAACCAGCCTGGTTCAGCTAATTACCAGCTTGGACACAATAATAACCAGTTTGGCCTGGCTAATAACCGGCTTCTATATTCCAATGTATTTTCCAGGAGGAATTGCTCATGTCTGAAACTACCACTAACACTAATACGTCTGATAGGTTTAAAACATGCTTCAAAGGTACGTCAGCAACCAACCTGTCACAGACAGTGAGATATCCATCACCTCAGGCCTGTTGAACTTTAGAAGAAGTTCTTGATGAGTGGAGTAACCAGTTTCACCCACAGCTTTACATGGCGGTCTGGCTGATTAAACGTGGAGTTTGACACTTGCGTTGAACTCTGGTACAACACCTCCTGCTCCTGGACAAGACAGAAAACAAGATTTCATTTAAACTATCTTTTTTAAACCTCGCTATCTCAAGTCTTGTGTCATCTCAGTGCGTTTCTCGTAAAGATTACTACAGAACGGATTTAAATTGATCTTTTATCACCTGTTAAGTGAAGATTAAAGGAACCTTACATTTCACAAACTATAAAAACTGATGACAGTTAGACTTTATTGTAGCCTCTGTTCCCAGAACAACCAGTACAGATTAATGTTTAGGGCATATCCTTTATATGTAATGCTGTTTGAGATAAGAAAGATAAACGGACCCCCATTGCTTTCTAGTATAAGAAAAGCTGTAACGTTAAGGACAATCACAGGATTTAAATCGGTTTTATTTAAATACTGAATTATTCCATTATCATAACATAGTGCCCATTAAAGTGATAGTTCACCCAAAAATGAAAATTCTGTCATTAATTACTCACCCTCATGTCGTTCCAAACCCGTAAGACCTTCATTCATCTTCGGAACACAAATTAAGATATTATGAGGGTGAATTTTTGGGTGAACCATCCCTTTAAAGATTTATAGAGCAGGGTGATAACATAAATTGGTCTACATTCATTTAAAATACAATAAAACAAATCACTTGATGCAACGTGTTGAGCACAGCTGTGTTTCCTGTAAGCCCTTACAAATGACCAGCCATTAATTTCATAGTTAGTACTAAAAACTATTAAAACACATCGCAACCCATGATTTATGGGGTACTGTAGGAAACAGTCATGCAGAGGACGTCCAACCTGTTGCAGTTGCATCTGGAGTTCCTCATTCTCTGTTACTATGGCAATCTGAGCCTCCAGATCCCTGTGCACAGAGCGATAGCCGAAATTTGGGGAGCCAATGAGAGTGAGGCAGGGGCGCTCTCTTCCTCCCACATAGTACCACAGACCTGTGAAGAGTGGAAAAAATACCCTGAAATGTAACTTTTCAGACCAGTAATGATGATAAGTGCTTCATTACTGGACAATTGTTTATTATGACTCAAACCACTCTAAAAATAATCTTGGTGCCTTCACATTGACAAATATGCAGATGTGGCAGATGCTTCAAAGCAGCTGACAGTGTCAGTATCTATGTTTCCTGGTCACATGAGTTCTGGTGTCTATACAACAGAAAACATATTTCCTTTTCACAGTCAACAATGCATGGCTACACACTAGAGGAAAAAAAATCAAAAAGTGTCAGTCAAATTATGTACACAAACCAAACATATGTTCTAATCATAGGCAGCAGGAATTACTTGCCACTTCAAACACTTGAAACACAAACATAACCACCCTGGCCTGAGGAAGTGTTCTTGATGAAAGCTGAATATCAGGTAACAACTGACGGGAATACTCTAAAATTAATTCCTGAGAACTTCCTTATGCACACAAATCCAGCAATTAGCCTTTATACACGATTATATATGCCTTTATGCTTAATTAGATTAAATTCAACTCCAAACCAATAAGCAATGTTTTTTCATTGACCACTTTGTTGATCATAAACTAGCGTTCAAAATTTAGGGTGAATTTGTTACTTCAATAAATGTATACTTTTATTTAGAAAAGGATGCATTAAATCAATACTTCTTACCAAAAAAATTATATATATATAAAAAAGGTATTCTTTTCAACTTTCAATTCATCAAAAAAATACTGAAAAGAATTAATTTATCATGGTTTCCAAAAAATATTAAGCAGAACAACTGCTTTCAACAGTGATATGAATCATTATTGTAGAATGATTTCTGAAGGATCATGTGACACTGAAGACTGGAAAAATGAATATTTAAAAAAGTATATTTTAAAACATTAAAAGTACAAAATAGTTCTTTTTAAATTGTAATAATTTTTCGTAAAATTTCTGTTTTTAATTCAATCAAATAAAATGCATAATGCTTGAGCATAAGATACTTTTTCAAAAGCATTCTTTTAAAAGGAAGTGCAATTAGTCCAAACTAGTTTTGCAAAAACGGACTTGGAATGGATGTTCTTCTGCCTACTGGCATTAGACATTTTGTGGAACCACTTTTTTCCCCCAATATTGTTCATTAGCATTTCCTTTGCACAAGCACTTTAAGAACACTAAATTGGATTTTTTTACTTAATTTACTTGATAAATGTGTTATATATGTGTTGATATATATGATTGTGTATTATACACTGATAACCTTTTTTTTTTTTACACATGAAGTTCCTAACAAAATAATAAATAATCAACAAAATAATAAAGTTCTTTGAGCTGTGAACTTGAACATTTATCTCAACGGTTTTGGCATGTGACTCCACTTGAAGTAAAAAACCTACTTGCTGCCAAATTTGAACAGCTGCCAATGGAAAAACACGCTTTTTGGTGACAGAAAGGTATAGTTACGGCATGACACGTAGAGCAAAAGTCGTAAATTGAGTCCACCTCACTGTCTCTTTCCTGAGGTGCCACATGGGCCTCGTGTAGGTTGAAGGCCAGCGTCAGAACGGCAGCTAATGTTCATTGATTCTCTCTCTGTAGCTCAGCTGCGGGGACCTCTGTCTGTTCCCACTTCAGCTCCACTGTTTACAAGAAATGACGGCATGACAAGGCTTTATCTAATAAGCCAGACTTCTCAACAGGAGCCTGAAATTGAATTCCACTGACGCTGCTCAGGTTTGTCAAGCCTCTAGTTTTCTCCAGACGTCACTATTTTATTCTGTCCCTTCAGGTCAGGGGCTAACACATTTAATTACACCAAATACACAAAATAATGTTCTTTTTTTATCAGCATCATATGACCCCTTTAAAGTGTATGAGGATACTCAGTTAAAGCCATATGAACAACCAAATCAAATTTATTATGAATTCATGCATTTTTAAAGCAAACTAAAAATCACTCACAGTTACAAACACAGACAGCAGGTTGAGAAATAACACAGTGGCGATCGAGCTTTTGGCTCGGTGCTGCATTTGATTTGTCTTAAATAACATACTGAAACAGTAAAGCTGAAATATCTTAACATTCAGCAACAGCCAGAAAACGTGGCCAAAGCATACCTCTGGTTTACAGAGAAAATATCACATGTGTCTGGCAGCCTCTGTGTCCTGAAGCTGTCCAGGAAGAGCTCTGAGGCTATTCAATCAGAGGTGCTGGGAAACCTGCTCTGCGCATTAAATTATGAGCTTTCCTGTTACACCCAATTTTTGGGAACTGGGCTGATCCACTTTAGTGCTTAAAAAAAACAGTGCAGAAGATAAACACGTACCTTTAGCATGAAATGTCCAATCTGGGCGATGGTATTCATGCAAGAGGACACGACTCTGCTGACCCAGCTGACACACCTGAAACGAACACGAGTGTTTCAGTAAAAAAACAAAAAAAACAATACAAGAACAAACATTAAAAAAAAAAAAAATTCTGATATTCTGCTAATTGAGTGCATTTGTAGCTGCAGCACCATCCATAGAACAAGCAACAATTATAAACTACAAAATAGTGTTAATTTCGTTAAAGAAAACTATGACGGAAAATATTCGTTGACAACTTTTTTTTTCCAAGCAGAGACAACATTGACATTAATCACGAACTAAAACGCTAATAAAACTCTTTAGCCACAATTTCTCTATATTTTCTTCAAACAAATAAAAAAAGTTTTCATACTTGGGGTTGCCAGATGTCAAGAGTTAATATCCCTCTATAAACACTTCTCTTAAAAGGACATTTTTTTTACCGGGTTTTTTTTTTTTTTTTTTACCAACCTGGCAACTATTCACATGCACCCTTTCTTACACTATGGAAAAAGTGCTGAAAGAGCTAAAACATCAAACATGTAGCAACAAACATGTACGTTGGAGTTTCGGTCTTGGAGGGCCGGTGTCCTGCAGAATTGAGCCCCGACTTGCCTCAACAAACCTGCCTGGAAGTTTCTAGTATGCCTAGTAAGACCTTGATTAGCTGGTTCAACTGTGTTTAATTAGGGTTGGAGCTAAACTCTGCAGGACACCGGCCCTCCAGGATTGAGTTTGGACACCCCTGGTCTCTACCGAGACATTCTTCTCAAATGAAAGTGTAAAACATCGTCTGTGTTCCTTCAAAATGGTCGTTTGCTGCAACTAAATCTGCCATCAAACCCTCACAGTGACTAACTGTAATAAATCCAAACATGGATCTCAAGTATACTATTTGTGATTGAGATTTCTGAATAAATGCACTTAACGCAACCTCTGTGCCACAATAAAAAGTATTTTTATCGTTGTTGTTTTAATAGAACGACATTGCCTCTGTTGCCACTGTTTTAGCTTTTGAGTTTTACCAGTTTTCATAATGCAGAGAGTGTGTTTGTGATAATAAATCCGGAAACTAGATGAGGTAAAATAAACCATGTGTATGTTGAAAGGTGAAAGTGACACTGAAGACTTGAGTAATGGCAGCTGAAAATTCTGATTTGCCATTACAGGAATAAATTACATTTTAAATGATAGTTAACAAAAAAAAAACTGTTTTTAAAATGGCAATATTTCATTATATTATTGTTTTTACTGTATTTTTGACCAAATGAAGGCAGCTTTCAAAAACATTATAAACCCAAATTGTAAACTTTTGAACTCTACTGTATATCACAATTTACTGCAATATTCTTAAATTGATAATCTAGAATTAAATACTTTTTGGACACAAATCAAAAGATTATTAATATTTTTTTTTTTAAATGAATGAGAAGTTTGGCATGAGTACAAAAACAATAAAAACAAAAGATGTAAAATTGTAATTTTTGGTGGTTATAAAATAGCCCATATGCAACATTAAGTTCACAAATCAGTTGAATTATATGTTTACGTGGCAATTTGTAATGGTGCCTGACAACCGTAAAAAAAACCTATAGTTGCATAATATCTATACTAGAGGTGGGTGGCATGACTTGACAAAACTAAATCGCTCCTTTTATAAATAACAGAGTTGTCTACACTTAAGTGTTCATCTCGGTCAACACAGGTATATACACATCATACTGCCCAGCCCTGTGCTAAACAGTAGAAAAAATGCACACCTTATTGTAGAACTGTCGGGCGAGGTGAACGTAGGCCTCAGGAATTGCTCCTGCTACTCCTTTGGCTCCAAAAAAACCATTAACCGCTGGGGAGGCCATGAGGATACGGTAGTCTGCTGCTGCACCCAGCACCAGCTGCATGTAGGTGCGCGTCAGGTTGAAGTAACCCGATGTCAGATAGACGACTGAGTCTCCACCTGCCTCTGTGAGCAGTCGTTTGGTTACTTGTTCATCCAGATGAATGCCAAGAGGCTTCATTTGCACAAGTGGAAAGATCCAGGTGTCATTTGGCACCGTTCCGTCCGAGTCTGGGACCTCCAAGCATTCTGCTTCCAGCATGCTCTGCCGGACACGGGCCGTGTTCACCACCTCCATGATCCGTCTCTGTGCCAATGCAGTAAAGTCTGCTCTGTTACCTGTTAGACCACAGACAGACCACATCTGAGAACACTCAACACTTGAAACATAGGCAGCATTTCAAGCACAGCTGTTCCAAAAACTAGGTTTTGGGCAATCACTCATGTCTTTTATAGAGAAGATGATCCTATAATGCACTATAATGATCCTATAATGAGATCAGTGACAAAAAGCATACAAAAAAAGCATTAAAAGCTAAATGATGATTATAACTATATTTCCTTCACTAATAACAAATACAGATACAAATAGATTGATAAAGTTACATTTGACTATTTTATCTGACATTTCTGTGTACTACAGTACATATTTTAGCTTATCGTAGTTTGGGGTAGGTACGTTTTTAATGTTTTTTATGCTCACCAAGGCTGCATTTATTTGATCAAAAATACAGTAAAAACAGTAATATTGTGAAACATTAGTACAAGTTAAAATAAAAATTTCTATTACAATATATGTTAGGATGTAATTTATATCAATGATGGCAATGCTGAATTATCAACAGTAATTACTCCAGACCTTATTGTCATATGATCCTTCAGAAATTATTTTAATATGTTTAATATTTCTGTGGAAACTGTGATACATTTTTTCAGGATTTTTTGTTTGATGACCAGAACATTCAAAACATTATTTAAAATGTACATTTTTGTGACATTATAAATGTGACCATGGACCACAAAACCAGTCATATAAGTAGAACAGGTCTATTTGTAGCAATAGCCAACAATACATGCCATGGGTCAAAATTATCGATTTTTTATGCCAAAAATCATTAGGATATTAAGTAAAGATGATGTTTGATGAAGATATTTTGTAAATTTCCTACCGTAAATATATCAAAACTTAATTTTTGATTATTAATATGCATTGCTAAGATCTTCATTTGGACTACTTTAAAAGGTGCTTTTCTCAATATTTAGATTTTTTTTTGCACCCTCAGATTCCAGATTTTCAAATAGTTGCATCTCGGCCAAATATTGTCATATCCTAACATTTTCGCAATTTCAAAGAAAAGGTCAACCCTAATGACTGGTTTTGTGGTCAAGGGTCACAAATGTCTTTACTGTCACTTCTGCTTTTATGCATCGACATGAGGGTGAGTAAATGATGACAATTTTCATTTTTGGGTGAACTATTCCTTTAAGAGGTTCTATTTCAGTTAGCATAGCAACATAACTCATTAGGTTTTGAAAAGGTGCTTTGTGTCAATCAAGTTAAAATACCTGATAGTAATGATAAACAGAACGATTCTAAGAAACTGATCTTAACAGGTTGTTTACACTTATTTGAACAGGTATGCAAGCGAAACAACACGCAATCCATTCCCCTCCAATCCAATCCATTCTATCAGGTATTTGCTCATGCGAGATCCTGCAAATGCATGATCAAAACCTCAGAGGCACGGGTCAATAACTGCTGACCGTCTGGAAAAGTGCTCTGTCAAACCCTGGCGCCTCTGCTAGACATAATGTGCCACAGTGAGTCATAGAAAGAGAGATAATCTGTAAATAATGAATTAGCTTCAGGGCAGAACGCTGCATGTTGGTAATGTATGGCAGAAGCCTGCTGCTCCATGGTGTCTGAGCTTATTTGGTTAACACGGAAAATGTGCAGCAAGGGCCGCTCGGAATATTCTGTTTGTTAAATGCAGAGAACAAGAAAAAGCGAAAGCCTCCGCAAATATGTGTGGACGGCGGAGAACAAATAAACGGCCCTTTGAAGCAGGATACAGGGGCTTTCCCCACAGACGCAAAGCCAGCCACCCCAAGCCTCCAGGCCTCAGAGGTCCAAACACATCCAGTTAACAGGGCCACAAAGTTCAGCGGCTCTTACCGACAGACTGTGGGATCCAATTACTGGAGATACAGGGGCAGGACCGAACTGCCGACTCAGCGCATAAGCTTCTCAATGGACCAGCGCTCTAGTAACTCTTACTGGAAGATGAGGCTTTTTCTTCGAACATATACATTCGCAGACGAGCTGCATAAAGAAATGTCACCCTGACTCGAGTGCATGTGCTTTTTAGTCTGATATTGTCCTCCTTTTACCGTCATACATCACTATTCTCGCTGTTGGCTATCAGTCCATCATTTCCCGTTGACCTCATTGTCTTGACAGACTGTATCGAGGTCCAAATAGCTCCTTCCCGAACCTATCATCCTCCTGCATCTCTCCTTTCCTACCCTCCCAGCACAGATCACTTACCACCAGCAAGGTGACATCATTGCACTATTTCTGGGATCTGTGAAAACTGTGGCCCCGCTCCACCACGATTATGTCATCGAATGGTGCTGGGTTATGGATATGAAGCCAAGCTGAATGAGCATAATCACTCATTCACTCGTTTCGCGCTCCTCGCTGAGCCTGGGGACCGTAAGACACACCGAGTCATGGCTGAAGCTCAGCATCACAGAGACCTGAGGCTAGTAAGCAGGCTCCGAGCTTCCTGTTACTCAATGTTACCACAATGCTGGTGTTACGAGGAAATGAGTGACTTACCATCATTACCTCTGATGCATGTATGTCAGATTGGGTGGAAACCACAAGTGTCACTCATTTCTCTTATCAGGAATACTTTCATTGCCAAAAAAATGCTGATGAAGTTGTTTGATCACTTGCACTTAGACAGTCTAGCTGCACCTAAACAAGGATGCTCTGAATAAATAATAAATATTCATTCCACACAGTCCATTTTAACCAACTGATACACGTGACAGTGCAGCACTGAGCTGCCTTGCATGATTAAATTAAGCTGACTTTATTTTCAGCACATGCATATGCAAACAAGCAGCATTCTTAAGAAAATTAGATCGACAGGAAACAGAATGTTATACTATGAATATTCCTTCATTAATTACAAAAACTGTTATATCTTCAGTTAGCATGGCCATGGCATTCAATTTGAAAACTTTTTTAAAATTGATTGATTTATTATTATTATTAGCTTTTTTTTTTTTTTTTTTGCATATCTTCGGTTAACAGGGTCAGGGACATTCTTGCATTTACCTTTTTTTTTTGTAATAAATATAGAATATTCATAGTGACAAGATGAGTAAAGATTTGCTAAAAAATGTCTGTCTTAAAATTATATATATATATATTTATTATTTTAAGAGATATATTTTTGTATATTGTATTCGAGTCCCCTTTTAGGATTTTAAAGCCAAATCAGGTTCTTGGATTGTAGTGGTGCAACAATGCAATAAAGTTTCACTAAAGTAGGCCAGATTATGGCAGTTAGCTGCATCCTCCACAATCTATAACTCACAATCAGCCTCCAAGCTAGGGAAGTTGCGTTTAGCATTTTGTGAATGTGTTTGGGCTTTTACCTCACATAATGTGGTTTCTAACTTACGCAATTCCTTATTTCAGAAGCTTTGGAAAGCATATGCAAATGAACGGTATAAGGAATTCTTATTAAAATCCCCTCTCATTGTCTTATATGACATTTTACATTTAAGGAAGTGGCATCTGTTTAAACAGATCCCTTAATACGTCATAAATAGAACGAGGCATCAGTTTACTGTCGGGTAAAAACAGTGTTGTGTCGCATTCAGTGCAAACAGTCACTGATTATAATGGTTTCTATAGTATTTTGTGGCACTGCTCGCGTCCAATGTAAACACGGTACGCCTATTTAACTATTGTGGTAATTTGCAGGTCGTGTCAAAAAGTTGTTGGTTTAGATAAATAGCTGTATTCTGTAAGTTTGACTCGTGTACGATAATTTTCTTCCAAATACGATAATTTTGAGCTTCTGGAACAATACTTGGACATTTCCTATCTGGCAACACTGGCCAAAACGGTTCAACGATTTTTTGACATCACATATCGTACTTCAGCTTCTCATCAAACTTTCTGTCCAATCAAATGCGCTCTAGAATCCGAAGCGCCCGCTCCCTACACTATAAAATAGACGCTGAAGCCGTGGCTGAAATCGGACACTTGTCCACAGAATTAGTATTTTCTGTATAGTGAATGGCACATAGTGCACTATATAGGGGACAGGGAACGATTCAAACGGTGTAAATATGCTTTCCATTGAGGAAAAAAAGAAGTCTGGTTTCGCGCTGTGTCACGCTAACCACCGCACACACACTCTGCTCCGGTCCGGTCCAGAGACACAATAGCACGGAGCGGATCACATGCGCGAGTCGGCGCAGACCACAAAATGTATAGGAGCTATTTGAATTCTACACAGAATACTATATTTTATAGCAATATGGATGAGATTGTGGCTGGCATACCCTGTCAAATGCGGCTTTACGGAGCTCAACGGCTCTGAACGGCTCTAGCCCAAGCTGTGATATAAACGAACGCTATTGGCTATTTTAAAAAGGGACGGGGCTGCTTGATATGTCCCGCACTGTCTTCCTGTTTCAGTTAAAACGACGTCAACACATAGAGTAACGCTGCGTGTTTCTAAGCATTTCAGGGGACCTTTAAAAACCACTTACCTTTGTAGGGATGCACCATTCCCTCCATCATGTGCACACTGTTGTCAGGCTGCAGCTGCAGTGACACGTCGCCCACGGCTCCCACGAGTTCAGCAAAGAAATCAGCCACCTCCCCGCAGTCTTCCAGAAGTACATAGCGATCCTGACGATTGGTGAAGTAGGAGTCGCTCAGATTGGCCCTGTATGAGATATCATCATATCACACTCAAGAGTGGGCCAACAAATATTCACCTCCTCCACTGAGCAGAGGCTGTTTGCATGAGCTCCATATGGTCTAAAAACAAACCTAGAACCATGAAGAGCAATAGCTATGGGAATATTTTGAGAGAATTGATGGCATTCACATTGCAAGCATATTTTAGTTACACTACACAGCCATAACATATGTTTGCGAACATGTGTCGTATCTGCTTTTGGTGTGACATATGCATGCGTACACACCCACTAATGATGAGACTGTTGTCAAAAAGGTATGCCTTGATGTGCTGCACCCCGATGGTTTCATTGAAGCGTTCGGGAACCAGAAGACGCAGCAGCCCACGCAGGTCAGGTGTGTGGTACAGGGACACTCTCATCTGCTCAGGAAAACGCTGGAGCAGTGGCAGTAACATTGTGCGGGAATTGTGCTTGCCTTTAGATTCAAAAACAACAAAGGGGGAAATTAGAAGCAATGAATCAGTGCATACCCTTAATTAAGCGTTAAAGGGGAATTCACACAAAATTGATGGAGGTTGCTGTCATGACAATGCTGTATTATATTATATTATAGCAAGGTTTAGTTTTGTATTTTCTTTATTGAAGTAAAGCTGTAAAACAAATAGCTCTTTAGGAACAAATAAAAGTTAAACATCCGTTCCAATTCCTTCACTAGCAACTAGAGCAAGCTATATAGCTTTGATACCAAGGACAGCAGATGGTTTAAAAAAATAAAATACAATTTTTAAAAAAAGTCCTTTTCACTTTTTTACTATTTTGACACTCAAAACTTGTTCAAGCCATTTGGAGTCATTATTTTTATTTATTTATTTATTTATTTTGGAAAGAAATTAATACTATTAATCAGTAAGGATGCATTAAAATGATGAAAAGTGACGGAAAGGCATTTAAAATATTACAAATGATAATGATAAATTATTTTTAACTTTCTATTAATCAAAGAATCCTACAAAAACATAATGGACTCATCAAAAATATTAAGCAGCACAACTGTTTTCAACACTGACAATAATAAGAAATGTTCACTGAGCAGCAAATCAGCATATTAGAATGATTTTTGAAGGATGACTGAAGACTGGAGTAATGGCTGATGAACATTTAGCTTTGCCGTCAAAGGAATAAATTACATTTTAAAATATATTACAATGAAAAAAAAATTTTTTATTGTAATATTTTACTGTTTTATTGTATTTTACTGCAGCCTTGGTAAGCATAAAAGACTTCTTTTAAAAACATTTAAAAATCGTACACAGCTACACAGCTATTTTAATGGCTGTCAAAGGAGAAAGATGCTTTGGGAATGGGACACTGCTAGCTAACCAAACCTTGACCCCTTGGTGCACTCATATTGGTAGGTGTTACGTCACGTCACTGCTCATTTGCATAGATGATGATATTGTGCGCATTGCCAACAGTTACAGTTGTTCACGCTAGAAGTCGCCAACACATTAAAAAAAACCATCTCTCTCTTTGTGAACGCCTTCTCATAATCTTCTCATAATGAGAGTCGTTTTCAGGAGATCAACCAGAACCTGAACCACTAAAATGAAGCTCTATGCTGCAACATGATGCTTCAGTTACCATGAAATATTAGATTATGAATTCTTACAACATCATTGGGTGAGTTGTACAGCACATTGAAAGCAGTCAATGGAATGACTAACAGTTCCTGTCAAGTAGTTTGCAAAGAAAAAGAAAAGGGGAAAAAAAAACAGGGAGGAGGTTTGAACTCCAACCTACAATTACTAAAACTGGAAATCCTCCAAAATTACACCCATGCAGTTATATCAATAGACATGGCGTACATATGTTAGTCAGTGTTCGCAAAGGGAAACGAACATTGGCAGGGGATTTCCTGCAGGCATTATTTCCTTCTGATGGTTTCACAGGAAAGTGATCGAAAAGATCAAGCTATGACTGTTCAGAATGTGCAAAATGCAGTTCAAAAGGAAGTAAAAGAATAATACAGAGGGAGGTTTAAGAATAAGTGATAATGCGAGGCCTTGTTCACACAGCACACAATCTAATCTGGTTTTGAAATCTGATTTTTGGGACTGATTGTCGATACTGTCATTTAATTACTGAAATCAGATCCACATGTTCAGTGTAGTCAATATCTGATACATGTAGTAATGACTTCATAATTCATGAGATGCATCACTGTATTTTATACAAATCACTTTTATGTCATCCTTTTCAATGTGACCATAAATGAATTAATTAGTGAAAACCACTTATCATTGTGATTAAGATTGTATTAGATCACAATCTTACGTTTTCGCAGTTCAGACTACAACAACTCCAAGGATTTGGGTTGGACATGCCAACTGCTGGCTGTCCAAACAAAGCCTGAGCATGTGTGTTTGAAATGAGTAAAAAAAAAAGACTAAAACAGACCTCTTGAGCCTCTGGTATAATCCAGCAGAAAAGACACTTTGAGATCAGGTGCATGATCTTCCTGTGAGCGCTCTAATGCCTCTTCCATGCAATCCACCTTCAAAAGAAATTAGAAAGTCACTGAATACCCTATACTAGGGTTAACTAAGTTTCTGCACCATTTTTACAAAATTTTTATTCTATTTCTGCTGCAGGAACCTTATGGCTTGTCAAGCTGGTTTTGCATGTTGATTTGAACAAGGAAATGCACTTTAGTGTACACGGAGATGGTGATTAAATTCAGCTTTTAGATTGAGATTTAGCAACACCACCAGATCAAATTCTGTTGATAAAATTAAATTCTGCTGAGGTCATTTTTCAGAATATACTTGCAGATCTGACTTTGGTTGTGACATGAGCTACTGTTTATACAGTACCTGATCGACTTAATCTTACATTGGAAAAAAATAGAAGATGAGTTATGTTAAACTTCCCTGAGCAGCTTCCTCTTATGTAAAAATCTTAATCAGGCCACAGTCAACTGCACAAAAACAGCCTTTTCCTTCATGGGCTATGTTTTATTTACTGGTCAGTGACAGTAAACGTGTGCAGACAGGTTACATACGAGGTCTTGCTCTAGTGGTCCTGTGCCCAGATACAGTGATGCCATCACCACACGACTCTTGGCTGTCTTGATACGAGCCTTGGCAAACAGAAAGAACAGCAAACTGAATGAGCAACACTGAGTAAAGCTTTATTTTTTACAAGCTATATTATGACAAAACAAACTGATAAAAAAGTGATTCAAGACAATAAAACTATTCTTTACATAAACACAGCTAGACAATCTTCCAAAATGGAAAAAAAAAAGGATTTGACCAAAATTCCATTTTTAATCTTATATTATTTTTTTTTTTAGAGCCATATGAAAATTTAAAGCTGTTTTCATGGCAAGATTAAACTACTTTAAATAAAAAGAAGAGACAAATATTTCGCAAATAGGCCTATAATTGTTTACAATGTTACAATAAACTTATTAAATATCTAACTACAGAAAAAAAATCTAGAATTTTACTTTTAATGTTAAAAATCATAAAACTAATACCAATAGATAAATTATGATGTTTAGAATGGACATTTGGCACAGATCCACCTGTTTTATTAAACAAAACATCATCTTCTCGTAAGTATCAACCAACGTAATATATTTTTATAATGACACAATATAAACATGACTATAAATAGAAAGGCACTAATTGGAGTGAGATAATTGATTACATCTTTAATTGATTTTTCCGTACATTTCTGCCATATGTACATTAACTGACAGTCACCACTAATGAGCTACCACTAAATATTGTAGAAACTTAATTTGCTGTAAAGCTGCTTTGCAACGATTTGTATCGTGAAAAGCGCTATACAAATAAACTTGAAAACTTGAATTGAATAATATCTGTTAGTAATAAGATATCAGAGATTTCTTTTTTACAACCTTATAGTCATATTTACTGGCAATTCAGTTATCTGAAGGTGCAATTACTTGGCTTTCACCCAGTAAATGCACACACACACACACACACACACACACACTCGCATACCTTCATAGCCTGATAAAACTCATCAGGTGAGTGAAGGATGCGTACGCGGCCCCCAGGGACCCTGAAAGCAGGTACATGATCAGCCATCCAGTGGAACCGAGAGTGGAAGTCCTCAACACCAGTGAAGCCTGGAGGTCTGGAGGAGGCCAGGGGGGCTGAGTCTGCCTCTGCCAGGAGAGGGGCCAAGAGCAGCACAGCGGACCTACAGGATGACAGAAAGTAAAAGAGAATTAATGGGCGGAGAAAACCTTTAATCAGAATCCAAGACTGGTAATCCTCTTCCACTGTACACAATGCACTGTAGTGTTTCCGTTTACGGTATTAGTAAATATTGTAAAATCTGGTGGCTGTAGAGTAATACTGAACTTATGCTTGGTATTTGTTTCCTGTTGGCTCTCAAACAACATAACATAATAAACATAATATACACTATTGTCAAAAGGTTTAGGGTCGGTTAGATTTTTTAATGTCTTTTTTGTACAAGGCTGCATTTATTTAATAAAAAATACCGTAAAAGCAGTAATATTGTGAAATATTATTACAAATAAAACTTACTGTTTTCTATTTAAATCTATTTTTAAAAAGCAATTTATTCCAGCGATGACAAAGCTGAATTTTCAGCAGCCATTATTCCAGTCTTCAGTGTCACATGATCCTTCAGAAATCATTCCAGTATGCTGATTTGGCATTCAAGAAATCTTTCTTACTATTAAAAATGTAAGATTTTGTAAGATTTAAGTAATGTAAGATTTAAGAATCTTACGATATTTTTTGATAAGTACATCGATCAGAAGAACCGCATTTGATTTGAAATTGACAGTTTTTTTGTAACATTATAACTTTGCCACTTTGCAAGTATAACTTTCTTTAAAAAAAAATTTACTGACCCCAAATGGCTGAACAGCGGAGCATTTTCAGCTATTTTTGCTAATTAAAAACCTGATACTTTATCTTAGTGCTTTTTTGCTTTGTTTTTTGGACAAAATGGGAAAAACACTTATAACACTTACATTTTTTTAACACATTTTATAATGGTAATCGTTTTTGTGAAAATCTGATCTGAAATCTGAGAACAAAATCTTTATTGTTGCTTCCTGGATTTCAGAACAGTTAATGAAACGGTAATAATAACTAACAAATTAATACTTTTCTGCATTTCATTAGCAGATGCAATTACACCAAAAACTAATGTTAGAGAGTTGATTTGACTGTGCAATATTATAAACCAGTACATTTGATGACATTCTGAAAAAAAAAAAAAGATTTAACAACTCTCTTTTTCTCAAAACTTGATTTCCAACTACTCAGAACAGGGCCCTAAGTCCAGCTCCAAATGCAACAGTGTTCAGAAGACAAAGGCAGTAATATGGTCTGTATGACACAGCATGAAGTCTCAAACTGCAACCCTTCACTCAGATCTACTGCCAAACACCAAGGTCACGTCGAGTTCTCTACAACCTCTGGGTTGGTGCTTTTCTTCACAGAACCCAGTCTCACCGCACACTACAGTAGATCTCACATAACTCCCGAGAAAACAAAATGAAAAGAGGTGACTGAGAGTGCCATGACCCTGTGGAGATTGAGTGTAAAACAATGCGAAGGTCAGTCGTGGGTGAGTTTACGAATCTATACAAGTTATCTATCTGCGTCTCTCAGATGTATCAAAACAAGACCCATGTTTCAAAGCCCTTTATAGATGTCACATCTGCCCAAACAAGTTAAGAAAATTCAGGAAAAGGCCTCCACTTATATTAGACTGAAAATTGATTTGATTAAAGCCACCTTTTAAGAAGAATGCAAGCAGTGAATGGCTGCTTTGTAAAACCAGTGCTTTAAAGTCTTCTTGAATGAACCTCTTTCATTGCAAAGCACCTCTGATAACAGCAGTTTAAAAAGAACATCTGATCATCTAAAGGCCAACTTGGGCCACATTTTTCCGTAAGAAAAAATTTAATGGTGGTTATCTGGTGGTTAACATGAACAAATGTCCAAGAATTTGGTGTACAGCTGATCTGTCAGATCATACATGCCTGAATCAGATAGCATTATTTTAATAAAAGGAGGTGCTGACAAACCATATCTGATCATCTGCCTGCAGTCTCGGTTTATTTAGTTGATTTACTATCCAAATAACCAGTGTGCAGTTAATCAGCTCATTAATGGGTTAGATAACCCCAAAACGAAGGTTATTTCAAAAGCAATATTATATTTAATCACCCTTATCCAGTTCAAAACAGCAGGACTTACATTTTCCTGGGGAACACAAAAGAATATGCTAAGAAGTCACCATTTACTTTCAAAACATTTTTGGGTGAACAATATCTTTAAGAAAGAAGACATAATGGTGTTTACTGGAAATAAGCTAATGGATATTAGTAGAGCAAAAGCAGCAACCATCTTTATTGGTCTAATGTTTACGGCTCATATTCTCAAGCTCACTTTAACAATTCTAACTCCACAAATGAATTTAAGATCTCTTTACACAACCACAAGCTAACATTAGCCAAACACGCTTGACTTTAATATTACGCGATTTCTATCGACTGTCTTTATGTAATGCAGACGACCGCTGTAATTTACCCTCTCCTCCGCTCATGTGTCCTGAAAAAGCGATCTGTTATCCTCGTAAAAACCCAGGAGAAAGCAGGAGTATACCCAGAGAACACAAGTCTTTTCCATGTCATGGGCGCCGCCATGTTTTCACTGCATTTTGAATGTCAAAACTTTATCTAAACACATACCTTGCATGCGGCGCGACACAGACGCTTGTAACTAGTGTAAACAAGTTGGCTGGTTATAATAAGAGGGTCTGCAGCGTTGACAAGGTATAATTGTGCGTTTGCTGGTCTCTCATCTTTCTATACGTTTTTATCAGTGATAAAAATGCCACATTGTCTCTTGTATACTGCACCTTCCCTGTTTATATTCGAATTTAACTATAGCCATAATCTGTACATACAAACCAGTGTCAGACATTTTTTTGTATCCCTGGAACTGATTTTTTAAATCAAATCAAATATAAAATAATGCACAATATGTTAAATTTCCTCTAGAATACATTCTAATTGTTTTTAGGAATGCTTTTTTTTATTATTAACATTCAGTGTTTCCTAAAAATTTTCATTATAACATTATTATTTTTAGCTTTATTTTATTTCAGTATTATATTAGCTGCAGGTAGTCACATTTCAATCTCCGCGACAGTGAATGCAATTATCTGACAGCTACACTGTCAGAGGAAATAAATGCATAAGTAGATATAATAAAATATTATGAAATAGGCTATATAACGAGTAATTTTAGCATACATTTTAAGTATTTGGGATATTTTGTCCAAACCTCCAGTTAAATTCTCACTTGCACCCTTGTATAATTTAAATCATAGTACAATAATTTATTAAATAATATTTAAACAAATAATAAGCATTTATCGTTAGATGCTAACTGTATTTAATTTGCCCTGTATATGTACTCTGCACAATGACAGTGTGATTTTAATATTATATTTTACACCATTAGACGATATATACAATAAACTCTGCTCCATACATATTCAAAGCTTCTGATCGGTGAATTTATTAATGCAAGAATATCCCCAATGTCTAGTGGTCTTTTGGAAGGTGGTCTACTGCTGTTATCCTATAGATGGCGTATGGAACAAATCCAGCCAGTAACCCAGAGTCAGCCTTGTGAATACTATACTATACTATACTATACTATACTATACTTTTACATAGAAAAATGTAGCGTAACTTTAGCGTATAGACTTGCATTCTGTTTCGAATAGCCCTATGTAACATAAGTCCCAATAATATGACATTCGTTTAATTTTATTCTTGGCAAAACGTTCCATCACGCATCTGACCGTAAACGACACTATAATACGGGACTCTGCAAAACCAATAAATGAATAAATAAAATAGACCAATAAAACAGAATAATATGCACCATGTGTGTGGTCAGATATCATCAGTCATAACACACCGACCGCATTTATATTCGCAAGGGCAATGCAACGTTTCACCTTGTGTGAACAGGGACGGGAGGGGGGAGAAATCCCGTAAAAAAGGGTCACGCTGATTATTTATTGGCAATACGCCACGTGCGTGTGTGTGTGTGTGTGTGTGTGTGTGTGTGTGTGGTTGTTTTACTGGAATACAAGGGGTGGAGCCTTTAGAAATATCAGTCGGTACTTCAACTCGATGGCACGAACCTCCACTACCTCTGATGGACTTTCACACAGCTGATCTCTGATCAACTGTTAAAAAACTGACATGAAACCGATCTTGATCCTTTTAAAAGAAGGTCTATTATGCATAAGCGCTTATATGGAAATCACAAAAGCAGCTATGTTTTAAGAAAACTCCCAAGATTGAGTCGGATAACGCTTTGAAGGTAAAACGACGTTTTGCGCTTTATTCTAACGCACTGGGGTTCTTTAGAATCTATTAGAAATGTATGCATATATTATTATATCGGACTGTTATGCATGCCTCGGTTTGTACTGTGCTACATGGTATCCATGTCAATTAAACTATGTTGTTGAGCTTTGTAATGCGAGCTAATGCACAGCTTAATAGTTTGAAGTCTGCTTTAGTTATATATGCGAGCGAGTCGGATTAAACGACCTCAATGTAACCCGAATACGTTAAATCGGTGAATTTCTATTCCAGTTAGGATAGGAGAGTGAAGGGGTATTTACAGTGTAATACGAGACAGAGACCGTGTGTCATGAATGAGAAATTGGGTTATTCACAACGAACTGGAGGACCTCATTCATAACCTGTTTTCTAATAGCCCAAGAGAGCGATCGAAGTCAATATCGGGTTTACACGGTCGTGCTTGGACTAAAAATAAAGCTTCGATTAGCAACTAGTTAATTTATCCACTGCAAGCAGTTTTAACATTTGCGCTTCAAAATGATCTCGCATCTATCTTACTTATACAAGTATTCATTTCTCATCTAATAGTGCCTTGTAAAACTAAAAGTTATTGGATTGCTTGCTTAACTAGTACCATTAGTACTAGAAAAACTAGAATATGGAACAGCAACATACTAGTGGGAAGTTGATATTTAAATCACAGATCCCTATAGAATTCACTAACTTGAATCATTTGTTACCAGTAGTATTACTAGTTGCAATAGTATTAGTAAAACTGGAATAGGTACCAGCAACATTGGCATACGTACTAGTGAATGGCAAGTAGTTGATCTAAAACACATATTCCCATGTAAATCATTAACAAAAAATAGCAATTTGTTATCAGGATTATTTGGAGGTTGACTAGTAGCAATAGTACTAGTAAAACTGGAAAAGGTACCATCAGCATTGGCATACACCAGATGTATTGGGATAGTGACTAGTAGAAAAGTACGATGTAGTGATTGAATATATATTAGTCACTATTGAAATAAGTACTAGCATCTAATGGTTAAGTTGATGCATTAGGTTCTAAAGCACAACGATTAGATAAATGGACACAATACTAGTCAGTAGTCACTACTACTGAATTACTTGAAAAATAAGTACTAGTAAAAAAACAGACACTAATTAAAGAAGTAAAAGTTAGTTTATCTCCAAATGGGACGATTACATAACTGAAATGCGTAAATGTGATGTTTCTTTGGAGAGGGAGGGTTGGGCTTTAATGATAAGGAACAAATGTGAGAAACAACCAATCCAGTTATTAGAACTATGAAGGGCCCTAATAAAAGTGATGTCATAGCAGATCAAGTCTGCTGGCACTGGCTTCTGTTGTTCTCACTGTTTGGTTGATGCTGACATTTTCCATTTGGCTTTTCCTTCAGCTGCCTTCCATACCCACCGAGACATCATTTCTTCTGGATGTGGAAGAGGTGCCAGAGCTCTGGGCGTTGTGTTGGTGCTCTCCGGTGCATGAGCACCCTGGCTGGGACGGCCCTTCGGCCCTGGACCCCGAGCACCAGTGGTTGCCGGGTGGTACAGGGGGCGGGCAGAGAGCCATGGTAACGCACAGTAGGTTTGACAGCGCCATGAGCAGCAGCCCCTTTGAAGGCGGCGTGCGCCTGCCCCCCCACCGGTACAAGACCTTCAGTTCTCGGGCGCAGTATCAGATGGTGATCGCAGCTGTGCGCAAACTGCAAGAGAGCGGCTTCTACTGGAGCACCGTGAGCGGGAAAGAGGCCAGCGCACTGCTGAGCGCCGAACCCCCGGGCACCTTCTTGGTGCGCGACAGCTCAGACCACCACCACTTCTTCACGCTCAGCGTCAAAACGAGCACAGGCACCAAAAACCTGCGCATCCAGTGCGACTCCGTCTCCTTCTTCCTGCAGACTGACCCTCGAAGCGAGCAGGCCGTGCCGCGTTTCGATTGCGTCCTCAAACTCATCCATCATTACATGCCGTCGGCCGGGACGGGGACCTCGTCAAAGGTCCAGGCCGTCGGAGAAGGTGGAAGCGCGGCCGACGGAAGTGCCTACTACATCTACTCTGGTGGCGAGAAGATCCCTTTGGAGCTACTGCGTCCGCTGGCGTCTAGCCTGTCCAGTCTGCAGCACCTATGTCGAAAGACTTTAAACGGTCATATAGACATGTCCACCAAACGGGACCAGCTGCCTCATCCACTCCAAGAGTTCCTCCAGGAGTATGATGCTCCTATCTAGCTATTCTTGATGGGTTTCAGATGGAAGAGAAGAATAAGGCGCGTAAGTGGAGTTTATCGCTCCCGACCTCGGCTTCTGTCAGTATTGCGGGCCAGCTGTGCCTTCGACCTCTGGATTGTGAACTTTTGAAGGACTGCACGAGATACGTTCTCCCACTCGAGTGGATCTGACATCTCGGCAGCTGTCGACACGAAAGGACTTCGGCGTTTCTGCGGCCAGTCGGACTGCTGAAGATAAACACGAGCGATAGTTGATCAGTACAGGAGTTAAGTGTGCTGCTATGGCTACGGTCCAGGCCTTCATCATCGATCGGGAGACACTCTCTCATGTCTGTTTTCTCCAGCTCAACATTTTTTTGACTTTCTCCTGGAAGGAAGGAGCGAGAGCTGGGTGTTTGCGATGACGTACACATTTCCACTGCTTCTTGCCAAGTGTAATTGCCTCATAAGTGGGCATGGGGGCGCAAATGGGGTGGCTACTTACCGCTCACGACCGACACTGTCTGCTATGGTGACTGTGTGCGGGGTCAAGAAAAAGGACTAGAGCGAACATATCGACTGGACGAGAGGCCTGTTACCGCGGGCCTTTGACCTCCCTTAGCCCTCTCTGGAGAAGACGGCCCCTCAGTGGACTGTTGTTACTTTGTTCGTGACAGGAGCCAAAGCAAACAGTAGTTTCATTTGTGTTAGGAAAAGGCAGGCTGAACATTGTTGACGATATGAGCGTATATATGAATTGTCATTCATATACTGTGAAGCAAATACAAGCACAGTATGAAAAATCTTTAGTAACTTATTTACTGTGGTGTTCAACATGAAGGACCATGCTTCTCTGATCACACGGAGAAGCATTCGTACTTTGTGTGCTTCAAATCCTCATTCAATAACAACGACACAGTGTTTGTTTCACTAGCAGGACTTGACGTCTGCTATTCAATGAATGTATTATGAGTCTATGGAAGGGCTTATGGTTTCACTTGTAGATTGTTTTTCTCTTTTTTTTTGTTTTGTTCATATTTTGTCAAATCAAGGTGTTTACATGTGTGGCCACCAACAGGACAGCATGTTTTTTACTGTCT